TTTTTTTTTTCTTTTTTTCAGAAGAGTTTGGTGGTTTATGATCCTGGTTCTGTTATGGTTTTGGTTCCTATTCCAACTCCAGTTCTAACTGAAATTGCTTATTCTTTTTTTTTTTTATTATAATTTTCCTTATTTTTTTATCTTTCAAACGTTTGCATAAATTTTTTTTCTCGTGTATGCTACAATGTGACTAAATGTGACTACAACATTATACAACAATTAATAATAAAAAATAAAAAAGAAACCCTAAAACCTTTACCATTTTTAAGCTCTCAGAACCGTAACTGACTAATAAACGGAACGTATCATTATTGTACGCTTATCTATTAAAAACTTCAACTTTTCTAGATATCTCATTCTAATCTTTCTGTCCACCAACTTGTTATGTCAAGCAGAAATGCTATGGAGCCATCGGATGGTTCCCTTATGGAGCCATCCATAACTTTATGTATTGATACCAGGACACGTGTCAATACACCATTTGAAAGATCTAATAACTAAAATGAATGTAAGATTTAAGTTGAAGTTGTGCATAGATATTGGGACGTTGGAAGACATGCGACAATGTACAATATCCCCGAGTTACGGTTAGATCAGTCACAAAATAGTTCCCAAGCGAAACAAATTTCCACATAAGTGTATCAATTACAGAAAGTATCGTAACATACGAATAGCAGCACAACAGCCAAACCATAAAAGACAAATCCTACAGTAGTGTGTTGCCATGAATGCTTCATCTTAACAGAAATTTTCCAAAATCAGTGATAAGTCACTTGAGCAGTTTCAGAAGCTATTCATCTGAAATTCGATGCTTCATTGGCTACTCCTTAACAGTTGCCCTCAGTATCTTCACATCGTGGATAGGCCTGAATTAACCAAGCACTAAAATTCATTAATATTTTCTAACTTCAGGTGTGTCATGCAAGGAGACGTTGAAGGTAAATAATTAAACAAGCTTTAACACGTAACTACACCAAATATAAGGTAGAATCACCACCCATATCTAATGAGTTCGTGAATACAAGCATCATAAGAAAAATAGGTCATATTACTTGAAGACATGCACAAAGTTGGGATAAATGATATGCTCTACATGGTTTTGACTCCATGCTTCACAGTGATATATAACGAAAGTATTCTTTACGCTAAGGCTCTTTGAACCAGAACACCATACAAAATTTCAATTAGGGTCCCAATGTATCTTGTTTTAGAAGAACCAACTTTCTTAATATAGTTTCATTAGGTAAACACCCAATAACAACAAGGAATAAAGCTTTACCGGTCAGTGTTATCAGTTTGAACAGTGCCAAGTCTCTTGATAATTTCCATTCCTTTGCATACTCTTCCGAAGATAGTATGCTTCCCTGTCAAAACGAAATTATGACACGTGTATGTTTAGCAGTTATTAATAATATAACGGCATGTTAGTAAAATGAAATTGCCAACCTACGCAAATGATATATAAAAGAACCACTTATCCAATCCATTGGAGGTTGAGTTACACAACAAGAATCAGCACATGGTTTACAATAGCATGTTAAAAAGGTTTTAACTACAAGATACACTCAAATGCACCAACACTGCTCCTCGCATAACCTTTCCAAGGTTAGAAGAGAACCTAACTTCACACCAAATACAAGTTGTTGCTGATAAAATAATGTTCCACTGGAGCACATATTATCACAATCCAAACAAACAGCAAATCAATCAATTTAATAATTTTATTTTGAAATGAAAATCCTGACTTTCAAAACTCACTAGGACTGAAGGACCTCTCTAAAACAGAGGCATTTACATATTACACGTAATATCTATGATGAAGTGTAACAAAGACATCATATATTGAAAAGTTCAATTCGCTCTCACAATCTTACAATGTAATGAAGTTGCTAGATGCATTAATGAAAGTTCTCTAAAATAATGCTCACCATCCAGAGAGGGTGCAGGTGCCAGAGTTATAAAGAACTGGCTCCCATTTGTATTCGGACCAGCATTCGCCATTGATATGATACCAGCTCCAGTGTGCTTCAACTCCCTAGTTATCTCATCCTCAAAGTGCTTACTGCAGTAAAGAAGAAGAAAGACGACTAGGTAAAATTTCAATCAGAAGTTCAGAACTATAGGAATGTAGCAGGATGAGACAGAGGATTACCAAAAATCACACTCAAGAAATTTCTGGACAAATCTAGGAATAGTTAGTACTTAATTCAGACCATATCTTGAAATTAAAAGTACTAAGGTGTTATAGAAGATGAACTTCAAATATTCTTGTATGAGACGGCTTAACCATTAGGCGGGTCGACCCATCATACTTCGCAAAATGCATACTTACACAATGAAATAGTCATACCGTTAGACAAATTGACCCGTCATACTTCTTTAAAAATCACGAATATAAACATAGATACAAAGAGACTGCTCGAAAGTGTAGGAAAAAAGAGATCCAACCAATCCCAGGCAAGTTGCAACTTGCACCTTAAATAGAACTTCAAACACGAAATGCTAATTGCTAAGCTAACACATTGCATCCGAAAACAAAAATAAACCTCAAATGTCGCCCTAGAAATCCATTTTCTACTTGATGATGAATAGATTAGTACTAACAGCCTACATCATGAGCCCAAGCTAAACAACGGAAGAAAAAAAATCTAACAACGAGAAAGGAAAAACAAATACCCATAGATGGATTCGCCGCCTCTCCCAGTTCCGGTTGGATCACCTCCTTGCACTATAAAATCCTGTAAAAATAAATAAATAAAATTTATACACAATTCATCCAAAGTCAAGAACCATTTCCACTAATAAGAAGCTCATTTGCGAGAGAGAAATAAACAGTAAACGGAAGCGAGGTACGAGCCTTTATGATTCGATGGAACTTGACGTTGTTGTAGTAACCTTTGCGAGCGAGGGTCACAAAATTCTGGCAAGTCCTCGGCGCGTGGTGGTAGTACATCTCGACCGTGAAAGGTCCCATAGAAGTTTCTAGAGTCACCTCCGGCGGCCCGCCATCGGCGCTCGCCAGAGTCTCTCTCCTCGCCATCGGTTTTGCAGAAGTGCGCTGTGCGCGGCTGCGAGTCTGCGAGTGTGTGTTTATGCCTGTGACTCGAAATGGGTCGGGTCGAGGTTTTTTTTTTTTTCGTGATCCGAATCGGGTACGGGTAAATTTGTGATCACCTACTAGCCGGTGCAATAACAATAAACTAGTACAGTACCCGTGCGATGCACGAGAATTTATTATCTCCGTCCTTTTTAAAAAACAATGGATTTATTATCTCTGTTCTTTTTAAAAAACAATTTTAAGTTAAAATTCAAAGTACTTACTAAAGGGTAGATCATGACATTAATAATTATTAAATATAACAAAAATAAAATCTATATATTATTGAACATTGCCTTATATACAACTTTCATGGTTTGATTCTTTGGCACGTCACCGTCGCCACAAATTAGGATTTTCAAACTATTTTTGTTTGTGACACGGAAGACAACAACATACAACTGGCCCCAAACCGCACAGTTCTTTATGTTTCCCCTACACAATGTCCAAGAGGTTTTTAAAGGGCATATTATGAGTTGTGAAAAATAAATTTTAAACATTGATATTTTAATTTTTTTTATGATATTACATGCGCAAAACATTAAAATCGAAATATAATAGAAAAAAATCATATAAAACATTAGAATATAAAAATATGAATATATAATGCTAAAGATTCTTACCCCAAATCATTTGGGTAGGAACTCCCTCGACTACCTGCATTTGAATAGGTTGTATTGAAACAACCATTCCAATAACATCTACAAACATATAAGACAATGCATCATATTGAAATGTATAATGTATAATATAGTTTATAAAAGATTTTAACTTAAAAAAAATTGAAATAAGAAATAAACAAAAAATTATAACGTACCAAACAACATGGTTTCATCAACATTATGAACATCAATTAAAGTTAGAAAGTTCCTAAAGTCAAAACGATACATAGGAAATTCACCCCTTCACTTGAGAATGTTCGTTTGGCCATTGATAATGATCCTCCAATTACTTATCGTTGATTTATAGATGCCAATATTATTTGATATCCATGATTATTCCAAAATCAAATGTCATTTTGAATGTATACGAAAAAACTTGTGAAAAAGAAAATGTTTTGTGGGATGTATTGATTGTAGAATATTTTTGGTTCAATGTTGATGATGGTTATATAGACATTTATGTATGTGACATATGCCCCGCACGGGAATTTAAAAATTGATTTACGTCAGGTTTTTAAGTTGAGTAGGAGTTATTTTCCTAAATAATGTGATTACGATCGACTTAAAAAAATATGTTTATCCGTTTTTGTTAAAAAAAACAAAAACAAAAAATGTGGAACGTGTTACATGTGTTTCGGATTTTTCGATTATTGAAGATTATGTGACATATCAATGTGATATAATGTGTACCAAAATTAATGGAGTTTGTTACAATTTAATTTGGTAAGGCTTATTGGATTGACTGAAAAATAATATTTTTATTTTGATATGTATCATTGATCAAATCTCGAGATTTTTTTTGCAAAATTTAACTCCAAACAATCCGAAAACATTGTGAAATTTGTTACCAAAAGAAATTCTAAAGATTATCGACAATATATTGTGTATAAATAACTATGAAGTTAGTTAAAAAAACGATATTTTAAAAGATTTGTTATCAAAATCCGAGATTTGTTGTCACAATCAGATCAAATTTGTTAATAAAATTCGAGATTTGTTATCAAAATAAGATTAAATTTGTTACTAAAATCCGAGATTTGTTATCAAAATCCAATCAAATTTGTTACCATAATCCGATTAAATAGGTTGAATGTGGGGCTCATTGATATTGCTTATATTAGTAAGTCAACAATTAATTTTTTATTTTGAAGATTATGTGTCATATCAATGTGACATAATGTTTACCAAAATTAAGAGTTTGTTAAAGTTTAATTTGGTAAAACTTTTTGGATTGGTTGAAAAATAATATTTTTATTTTGACATGTATCATTTATCAAATCTCCAGATTTTTTCTGCAATATTTAACTCCAAACAATCCGAAAAAACTGTGAAATTTGTTACCAAAAGAAATCCCAAAGATTATCGACAATATATTGTGTGTAAATTATATGAAGTGCGTTACAAAAATATTTTATAAAACGCACAAATGTGCAAAGAGCAGCCACCAGCTGAATACAAGCAGCCAATGACTGAATACAAGAAAGATTTGTTATCAAAATCTGAGATTTGTTATCACAATCAGATCAAATCTGTTAACAGAATCGGAGATTTTTGTTATCAAAATAAGATCAAATTTGTTACCAAAAACCGAGATTTGTTACCAAAATCCGATTAAATTGGTTGACATGTGGGGCTCATTGTTATTGCTTATATTAGTAAGTCAACAATTATTTTTTTAAGTCAAAGTTACTATTTTTGTATTTTTTTCAACAACCTCTTTATGTTACTATAAATTTAAGGTTTACACAATATATTTCTCAAATAATTTTTTTTTTTAAATTTGAATTTGAATTTTCATTCAGCCGTCATTTTTCTGAAGCAAGATTTTCAAGATTATTTCTCATTATTGGCCAGATTTACCCCATAACATTTAAGAAAACCATTGCTCATATTTCTATGAATTAAGGTTTACACAATATCTTTCTCAAATAACATTTTTTTTTTAATTTGAATTGAATTTTCATTCAACCGTCACTTTTCAAAATAAATTACTAAGAATAGTAACTTTGAAAAATTTAAGCGACAATTTTAATACTATTTCAAGTTAATCACTCTCTCTATTATATAGTAATATATGGGAAGTAAATCAGAAAACTCGATTTTTAGCGATAATGAAAAAATCACAAATCCCGATAACTAAAAATTGTATATTTTGAAAATTTATCAAGATTGATTTGCAAGAGTTTTATTGGAAGCATATCACTATTATCCATTGATAGAGAGTGACTAAAATACCGTCCAATATTCTTATATTTGATAACAAAATATCGGNTTAAAAAAAAAATAGAACCAAATTTTATGCAATATCAATTTATTTAAAATTAATAAACGAAATACCGGTAAATTTAGTTAAGAAAAATAGTGAAAAAGAATTCACAATTTTAAGGAAGAATATTTTTGAAAAGATCGAACTTGATTTAGGTAAGAAATAGAAAAAAGAAAATCTCAATTGTAGGGAAATATCAATTTTATAAAAAACAGACCTGAATTTACTTAAGAAGCAGTAAAAAATATAAAATTCAATTTTGAAAAGATTGCACAATTTTTAAATTGATTTGATAAAAGAATCAAAATCTAATGATTTGGATAAGGCATAAATGATAAACAGATTTTGGAAGGAATTTGATTTGTGTAATTCATTCAAATATCAAATTTTTTTAAAATCAATTTGGCACGTGTCAATTCGGACGGGAAGCAGTGGAGATGCACGACCATGTCCATGCCTGCATTATATTATTCCATAGATTTTGCCTACATATTAGCAAATTGAAATTGTATCAGGTTATTCCTAAAATTCTGGATGTATCAATTTATTCCATATTAACAGTTTAACGAAATCAATTTAAATGTATTCTTTATCCGAAAATTAGGGAATTATTTTGCCACATTAACAATAAAATATCTTTGCCGTGCATAAAAATCGGAAACATCAATTGGGAGGTTTTTGGAATGATTTAAACTAAAAAGAAAATTAAGAAAAAGAAAAATCATTTTTAGATTTTTTACATGGTTTCCACAAATGGGAAGTCAATGCATTTATTGACCAGTTTTTTAAAAGTTTTCACAAATGATTTATTGACTTCTTTTTGTTTTTCAACATATATAGATATCATAATTTATAAATTAGATTTCTTTTGAGTAACCACAAAATTGTTAAAGAATTAATAGACAATTCTAAGTTAAGATTTCGCAATAAACAGTCAAAGATTCATTCTCACCTAAATTTGAGCCGTAAACAAACAAATCAGTTCAAGAAAAAAGATTTCGCTCAAATTGATTTTAGAGAAGGAATGACTTTCATACTATAATCCCGGCGCCTATTTAGGACTTTCAGTTGATGATAATTATGGAACCATGTTGATATTTATCTTCACGTAAATTATGGAATCACAAATTCAAATTGAACGGATTTTAAATATGGTATCACAATTTCAATTTGATTGGTTTTTATAAGATTGCTATAATTAGTATGTCAACATAGTTGACTCATTATATTTTAAAAGTTTCCACAAATGATTTATTGACCTCTCTTTTTCAATATATATAGATAACAATAAACTAGTATGCAAGCTCACAAATAACAATATCAAAAATAATTTTATTATAGTTATCATGCAATAAAGAAATATTAAAAATAATTTTATAAAAATAAAGTGTTAATATTAAAATGAATTTTATGAATTAAATATGATTTACTCATTTTTTTTTGTGACAAGTCACACAGTTGAATATGTTATATATATAAAAAACATAATGTTGGAATTTTTTTATTTTGGGGGTTTTGATAATTTGAATTTGCAAGGATACTAAATAAGTGGTATTTATTTTTTTTTTTCAAAAAAAAATTACCGTCATTACATCCGAGCAATTACGCTTGCCAACGAATGAAAATTAAGTTTACGATGAAAGGACTTTTGACAGTAATTTAGGAGACGAGACTTGAACCAACTGATATGGATCCTAAAACGGCTGAAATTGCACAGTGGAACGAAAAAGAAATCAAATAGGTAGATGAGCTATTTTGTACCGTTGTCAAATACGCTCTTTGATTTTTATTGTTATAATCCGTACAATGCAAAGTCATTGTGGGATAAGTTGGACAAGAAATACAATACTAAAGAAAAAATTCTCGAGAAGTATTATGTTTCTAAGTTTCTAAAATATCAAATGACTGAAGCAAAGTATGTATCTGAACAGACACATGAATTGATCAATTTGAAATATTCCCTAACTAATGGTGATATGGAACTTCATGAAAAAGTTTCTGGTTGCGTCAATTATTGATAAAATTCCAAAGTCTTGAAAAAGTTTTGGAATGTCGTTGAAGCATCATAAAGGAAAATTAACATTGGATGATTTAATGATATCAATCAACATAGAAGAATAACATCGAAAAGAAGTTCATAATGTGTCATTTGAACCTAAAGCTAATAGAGTCATATAATAATGAAAAAATAAAAATGAACCAAATACGAATTTCAAAATGGTCAATAAAAACAAAGGTGAGGCTAAAACTGAAAAATCGCAAACAAACCATGTTGGAACTATAAATAGGTTGGACACTAGATTAAAGATTGTCCGACAAAGAAGCTAAGATCAAACTTGACCCGATGTACAAGTTGTGGCTAATATGATTGTTGGGGAACCTAGCAATGTTAGTGCTCCAGAGACAAATATTGACGGGTTTGTTTCTTTACAACCTTAGATTTTGCATGTCTATGAACCATTTGATTGATTAATAGATACTTGAGCAAACATGCACATTTTTGCTAATAAATTGTTTTTCGCGTCTTATAAGCCAATTAATGAAAAATTGATAGGTCAAAAAATTGTGGACATTTTATATATTTAACAGTATATTTTTATATGCTTAATTTTGTCGCACTTATATATTATTCGACTTATTTATTTCTTTGGATGAATTCTTGTGTTTTGATATTTTTATGTTTTATTTTTAGGATATTGGAGTACTTTCGTGGGTGACGTGGTACCAAACGAGAATTCAAGTTGGTTCAATACCAACCTACCCGTATATGCAAGAAGGGCCCAACTTTAGTTAAAATTTAAATGAAGTTTTTTTATGTGGGTTTATGTGGGCTGACTTGCAGAAGCCTAAAAAAACACTTAATTAACTGTGTGCACACAAAAATAAAAAGCAGGAGACTAATGTAACAAAGGGACATCGTGGGATTATTCTGAATGCAGTCAACTACCAATACTACCACCCAATAATGTTAAAGAGCCAACTGTAACGGTGCCAACAGCCAATGGGACAGCTCCATGTGGGGCTGTCCAACATTGGAGCCAACTGTTGGCTCCTTAGCATTACTGTACTACCACCATCAATCCAATAACTTCTTAATTTATTGTAGCAACATCCAATGACTACTTTACTTTTTGTAGCCTAACACCTTAAAAAAAAAAAAAACGTTTAAAAGGCCAAAAAAGTATACAATTATACTTTTCGGTTCCTGTATATATATTTAATGCAGTCAACCATCAATTTCCAGAAAAAATTAAAAAATAAAGTGTATCAGTATAGAAGTAACAATAAATGGCAAAAAATAGAATTTATAAACCATCACGGAGGGAAAATCTTAATTGAAATTCTTATTAACATTTGGCAGTCCGCATTCACTTTTTGGAATTATCAAAATATCTAAAATAATCATTAATTGTATCTTCAGTTTTTAGGAAGACAAAGAATCAATTTGTTACCATATATAATGACGAAAATGGAAACTTAAACTACACAAACTTTGAGTTTCACTAAAATGAAATAACAAAATTGAATAAGAAAGTCTCTAAAAAATGGCAGTTTTCAACATGATAAGCGAGCTAAAACATGGAAACATGCACTATGGATTGGTTGTTCGCTTAGTTAGGTTATACTCTGTCCTTATGACAATGACAAGTCAAAGATTTCAACTTTGGAATGTGTTTTCCATGACAGAATTGTAAGTCAATTTGCATTTGTTATACCCTTGACAACATTCGTTTTTCAAATGTAGGAGGATTGTATTCACGCCACGATGAAGTACGAACAAGTTTCGACTTTTCTGCCTATTTTGTAAGAAAATATGCTTTATAAAATTAGGACATTTATTGTTGTTGAAAATAAAATGACCTACAAAAAAACTACTGCTCCCTACCGATTCTTCTTTGTCCTGAGATCCAGTATCTCTGAATTGAAGGATGCTAACTTCCCTATAATGATCTATAACTTTATACCTTTTCAAAGACTTGCTGAAGCTGATTCGGTTGACGAAACCGTACTAATTAGTATCATATTGTACACAAAGTTAGATATTTTTGGTTAGTACATATAGTAATGAAAACTTAAAACCAAATGTTATTGGACGCCTTGCTATGAGATACCCACCCCGCGAGGTTGAGTATGGCGGACAACAAACAATCCTGATGGAAATACTTTCGGAGGATCATGAGTAAATGAATTCAATTCTATTTGAACTTATATAAGTTTGCATTCAATTTCAATTTTTTTTTTTAATAGAAGAAACATAATATCTTGCCTACTGTGGATACTGGGTGAGTACGTTGACTATTGGCCAACACAAATGAGGGGGATAATGTTATCATTATTGTTCAAATGTGCCACCCTAAAAAGTTCTAAAGGCAAATTCGAGTGTCCAACATGTTCAATGTTACCAAGCTTATCATAAATGATGATAATTCGGAAATAAATGAGTTCTGCAACAGGTAATGATGGTTTATTTTTCATTCTTTAATTCACTAATTATCACAACCAATGAATACTTAATATGTCTGTTTTAGGTTCATCATTCAAGGGAGAGTTGAGGTACCGATAACCAATATTGGTGAACGAAAATATGAACATTCTGCTATATTAGCGGAGGAGCTTGAAAGCCCAAAGGCAATTTTTAAGATTATAAACCAACTCAATGCAACTGAAGAAGTACTTATATTTCATCTCTTTCATAATTTTTAACCTATTATCTAAACATAAAATTGAGTGATAGTTAATTAACGTTAGGCAGGGAACTACTGGGTCTGTGCAAGAATCATTCATTTTGACTGTGGTGGACAATGGAGTTACATCGCATGTAATAATTGTTCATTCAAAATGATTCCTATGAATGGGATGTTTTATTGTTCCAGATGCGATAAAGAAGATTTCACGGGAAAGCACATGTTACGAGAAGTTGGATTTATACTGCTCTACTAAATTATTTTTTATATATCATGTAATGATTTCTTTTGTTTAAATTTTCCAGCTCAAAATCCCTGTTACCGTGGCTGACCAAATAGGACTTACTATGTTTCTGCTTTGGGATTGGGAGAGCACCGACTTGATTGGAAAAACAACAATTAATTTGAAATCAAAAGTTGATTATGAAGCAAAAGCTAACGATGTTCCTAAGGAGAATCTGGAGTTGGTTCATTTGAAAGTTATTTTCAAGGTAAAGGTTACCCAAAATTCGGGAAAACCTAAAAATAAAGAGATGACCAATACTGTTCTGAAGGCAACGACTGATCCAGAGCTTTTGAACACATAATATGGTGGACCACAAAAAAGTGCGCATTCAAACCTTTTCTCCAAACTGAAGTGCTGATTTTCAGCCCAATGAGGTTATTAATGATTTTTTTTCCTACCTTAAACTTTTTTTTGTAATATATGGAAAAGAAATTTGAAATTGATAAAATATTTGCAGGATGATTCTTATGAAATGAGTACTCCAGTGAAAAATGTGAATAAAACTTCAACTTCTATAGACGAGACGAAGCTTTCAAGTGTAAAGAAAAGGCTTAGTGATGAATTATCTGCTTGTGGGAAGGATAAAAAATGAAGGGAATTATGAAGGAAGAAGAGGAAGAAGAACAAAAGTAATATATTTGTAAGATTGGGGGACAATGGAATTAGACTATGTTCCCTTTTGAAAGTTAATAATAATAAATATTGAAGAGTTTTATTATTACTGTTATTTACTTCTTATTTCTTTTTTACATTCTTCATGTGACTATGTTTAACATCTTAAAATGAATTGGAAATTCATAAAATAAAGGTCCAACTCCCAAACCAGACTTATAATTTAAAAGAATGCTGTAACTAAACATAATTGGAACCACATGAAATTTTTATTTGTCTTGGTTATCTTGGTTAAAAGAGATCAATCAGGTTTGCTTGATAATGGGCAAACATCAAGTCGTGATGCTTTGTTGCGGGAAAAGGTTGGGAACTTGTAATAATGGATGGACTCTTATATGCGATGCGACGGTCCATGATATAGAAATTGGATTAGGAGGCTGGATTTGGGATTCAGATGACATATGTCAGGCAACTTTTGCTACGTGTGTCAAGGGTTCATTTTCTCCTTCATTAGCGGAAGCTTTGGCTATTCGACATGGTTTGTGATTTGCTCGTGATTTAGATTTCAAACTTCATGCGGTGTTGACGAACCCTTTAGGGGGCATTGGATGAATCTTTCATATGGAAGTACGCGACCCTCTTTTTGAGGTGTTTGCTGATATTAAAGAGCTCCTGACATTTGTAACTGTAGTACGTGCAACTACATCCCTCAAATGAAGAATTATGTCTCCTATATTATTGCGAATTGGGTGGTTGGTTTCACATTCCTCTTTCAAATAGAAAGGATCTCCTTCTCATATTGTTATCTTTCTCTTAGGTGATGTATTAAATTGTCATTTTGCTTGAATGCAAAGTTTCATCATATAAAAAAAATGTAGTTCATCTAAAAAAATGGTCCACAAACCAAAAAAATAAAAATAAAAATAAAAATAACTAATCAATAGTCAAGATCGTAAGTAGAGCTGCAAACAAACCGAGCGGCTCGCAAAGCTGCTCAAGTTAAAGTTCAGCTCAAGCTCGAGGTTTGACCGAACTCAAGTCGAGCTCGAGTGGCTCGAGCATGTCATCAAGTTGATCTCGAGCATAGATGTTGGAAGGTTGAGTCGCTTGATATGTAGTGAATTATTAAAATATCCTTTATTAAATTATAATATTTTAATATATGTATTTAATGATAATTTTACTTGAAATCTGAGTCGAATTCGCAATCTTTCCAACATTTTCATTTCAATCTCGAGCTTCATTAACTGCGCTTGAGAAGGTAAGAAAAAAAACCAATTTTACTTGGTAATGCCAATATTCGACTAGGCACGTTCGTTTGCAGCCTGGTGAAGGTCCATCAAACTTATTCTGTTCGGAAGGTTTTTTAATCAATAATCAAAATCGAAATCTGGTGTTAACAAGAAATTACCTCCAATCAACCGCCACCGCCACCCCACCGCCACCGTTTTCCCTCTCCCGACACCCTTCCTCTGCTTAGTTCCGGTGAGTACACCCCTCTCTCTTACTCGGCGTTTTTCTTATTAACTCCATTAAATTTACTCCACCAACTGCGTTGCTATTTGTCTCTGATCTGAATGAATACGCTTATCGTTAGCACCACCTCCGTTGATTCTCACCCTAAATGTGTTGTAGCTTCTGTCTGAAAATCGCCTTTTATTAGTTTCTCTTCATTTGGCGATGCAGTAAAAACAATCAGCTCTGATGAGTTTGATTTTCTGACATTCTTGTTTTTACATCAGTTCATTTACGCAATATGGAGATCAAAATTATTATTTGTTCATTTCTTCTTATTCAGCGGTAACATGGATAAATGTTGAGATCTTGAGTTCCTGTTTCTGCCTGTACAATTGCGTGTTTGTTCAAGCAACTTCGTGGATTCTTTGCATTACAAATGTGTCTCTGATTACTATTCCATTTGATTTAGGATTTTTATAATCAGGTATTGGAGTATGAAGCCCCTTCTTGAGCCCTTAATCACGTAATGGAGAAGCCAAATCTATAATTACATAATGAAAATATTTGCGATTGTTGAATTCATCCTTATACCGACCAAGTCGAATTAAGCCTGTGTTTTTAACTTACTGGTTAAGAATTTCACGTTTTTTTTTTTCCTTTTCTTCTGTTCGAAACCGTGATTCAGGACTGCAATTTATTGTGCTCTGTTACTCTTGATCTGATTATTATGGAAACTGAGAACAGAGCGAAACTGTTCTTGCCATCTTTAGTTTTACAGCTGATTGGGAGTGAAACATTAGTTTGCGTTTATTACAAACGATCACAATGCCTGCCACCACTGGCGGCATCCCCTGGAATCAGGATGCCGAGTCGCTCTTCCGCTCAAACCCCATCTCTGAGATCCGTGCTGTGGAGGCCGCCACCCGGAAGCAAATCCAGGCCAAGAGCGAGGAGCTCCGGCAGCTGGTCGGAAACCGCTACCGTGACCTCATCGACTCTGCCGACTCCATTGTCGCCATGAAGTCATCTTGCGAGTCCATCTCCGCCAACAATACTACAATCCACAGCGCCATCCTCCACTCTCTCTTCTCCCCCGACGCTATCTCACATTCCCCCGTGCACCTGCTGGGACCCGTGCTTACGGGATGGCAAGCCGGATCAAGTACCTTGTTGACACGCCAGAGAACATCTGGGGATGCCTTGATGAGTCAATGTTCCTCGAGTCCTCTGCCCGTTACATTCGGGCTAAGCTTGTGCACTCCAACCTGCTTGGATCCAAGGAAAGCAAGAAAGTGCTTTCTAATTTCCCTCTGCTTCAGCACCAGTGGCAGATAGTCGAGGGCTTCAAGGCTCAGATCTCGCAGAGGAGCCGCGAGCGGCTTCTGGACCAGACGATTAGTCATGGAATAAGTGCTTATGCAGATGCCTTGGCTGCTGTGGCCATCACGGACGAGGTCGAGCCAAAGCAGGTCTTGACTCTGTTTTTGGACTCGAGAAAATCGATCATTTGGCAGAAGCTGAGTGCGTGCGGCCGTGATGAGGGTGCGGCTAGTTCTGGAGTGATCTCTGCCTTGTGTGATGTCCTGAAGGTGATTCAGATCACAGTATGTCAGGTGGGGGAATTGTTCCTGCAGGTGTTGAATGACATGCCTTTGTTTTATAAGACCATTCTGGATACCCCTCCGGCTTCCCAGTTGTTTGGGGGCATACCCAACCCAGATGATGAGGTGAAGCTTTGGAATCTGTTCAAGGAGAAGCTGGAGTCCAATATGGTGCTGTTGGGCCGGGATTTTGTTTCCGTGACTTGTTCCGACTGGCTTAGGAAATGCGGGAAGGAGATCACGAGCAAGATCGGTGGCAGGCACTTGATTGATGTGGTCAGGAGTGGTTTTGAACTTTCTATGGCCGAGAAATTGATAAGGGAAACCATGGACAGCAAACAGGTCTTGGAAGGTAGCTTGGAGTGGTTGAAGAGTGTTTTTGGCTCCGAGATTGAGCTGCCGTGGAAAAGGACTCGTGAGCTTGTCTTGGGAGAGGACTCGGATATATGGGACGATATCTTTGAGGATGCTTTTGCTCAGAGGATGAGAGGGATTATAGATTCAAAATTTGAGGAGTTGGATAGAGTTGTTGATGTGGTGGAGTCAGTTCGATCAATATCTAAACCTCCTGGTGATCATGTTGTTTCTGAAGATTACTTGAATAGATTTCAAAGTACTGGTGGGGTTTGGTTCATGAATCCCACTGGCAAAACCTCTAAGTTCTATTCCTGGCACGAAATTGCCCCCGTCTCAAGAAAGTGATTTTGCAAGCTGTCTCAGCACTTATTTTGGCCCCGAAGCGAGCCGGATAAAAGATGCCGTGGATAGTTGTTGTCAGGATGTTCTTAAGGATCTCCTCAGTTTCCTGGAGTCGCCAAACGCGCCACGTAGGTTGAGGGATTTGGCGCCATATGTGCAAAACAAGTGCTCTGAAAGTCTGTCAGCCATATTAAAACAACTCAAGAGTGAACTTGACCACCTACACAGTGATCTAGAAAATGAGAGTAAAGATGAAAAGTCCTCACTTTCTTCAGCTATACTCGTCGAGCGATCATTATTTATTGGGAGACTTCTGTTTGCTTTTCAGAAGCACGCTAGATATATATCAGTGCTACTTGGTTCGCCTAGGTCATGGGTGAGTGAAGCTTCGGCTGCTACTCCATCCCCGATTGGCTCGAAGAATATTAGGGTGGCCAGTGAACAAGAAATGATTGATAGCCATGGGAGCACGAAACAGGCTTCACTAGTGACTGGTGCACTATTCGGAGCGGATGACAGGTTAAGCCCACATCTTGAAGAACTAAGGCAGACAACCCAAGATCTTTGCATCATAGCTTACAATCTGTGGATATCATGGCTTTCTAGCGAACTTTCAAATATTTTTCAAGAAATCTGAAACGAGATGATGCCTTGTCATCAACTGCTCCAGTCAGAGTAAGTAGTTTTAATTGGAATTCTTCTGCTGACCCCTCTCCCCTCTCCATCTGTATCATCAGATTGTTTTTGTTATTCTTGTTCCTGATTGTACCTTTATATGATTACTGTTTAAATGCATGAAATATAGCTTATATACCCAAGTGCAGTAACAACTCTTTAGTTGTATTTCTATGAGGAAATACCATGAACTTAGATAACATTTTCTTTAATTTGTTGACATGTGTAAATCAATTTTATCTTGCTTTGGCATCTAAAAAACAATAGATCAGTCTGTCATCTCTAAACTATTTTAAACTACTGGACAGGGTTGGGAAGAGACTGTAGTCAAGCCGCAAGAACATTCAAGTGACGTCCAGTCAGAGATGAAGATATCTCTTCCTTCGATGCCTTCTCTATACGTGACTTCATTTTTGTTTTTTGCATGTGAAGAGATTCATCGTGTCGGTGGACATGTACTTGATAAAGCAATTCTGCAGAACTTTGCCACCAAGCTTTTTGATAAGGTGTGTTTCCGACTTTTAACATTTCTGGATGTGACTCTGTGTAGAAGGATTTGGGTATAAGGGTTGAATTGTTTTGTCACATATAAGTGATAGGACTTGTGGACTCACTGTTTGCCGCTATCTTTGTGAAATTTTCCTTTACCATTTTAAATGTGTTGGATGATGAAACCACAAATATTTTCTGGCAGTAGATTGTTCTGTGCCTTTAAGTACTGCTTTCTTTTTTTTGGAATTTCATTGTATTGTAACTGAAACTGTATGGGATTCTCTGTTCGTGATTGATGTTTGCCTTTTGTAGTTATAGCAGCACACAACTTTTAGTGAGATTTATTTATTTAGTGAAAAATAGTGCCACAGGAGTGTCGAACAAAGGATCTTCAATAAGGGATAGGGAGAGGTAAGATACAAATAGATAATGGGATGGATTAGATCTCCTGCTCACTTTAGTTTCTCTTAAATCATTTGTTTGGTCAATCTGAAAGGATTCACTTGTTATATGTGGAGTTGAATGTTATATATCTTTCTTAGTTTTACCACTTAAATAATGAATAAGGATGTAAAGCGATTTTGGATCTACTGTCGATCAATGTTTATGTCATGTACTGTACTTAAAAGACTTGGGGAACAGATATGTGTATTAAAAAAGAGGTTTATCTCAGTGGGCGTGCAGTTTTACAGATATCACCTTCCTATTCATTATCCTTATTACCCCTGGCCCTCCACTGAATTCTTATGGGTTATACTTGTGTAGGTTCATGGGATTTATGATGACTTCCTGTCAGCTGAAGTTCTTAGGTCACAAGTGTCAGACAAAGGTGTTTTACAAGTATTATTTGATTTAAAATTTGCTTCTGATATCCTGTCTGGGGGCGATTTCCATGCAAATAAGGAGGCATCTGAAATCACAAGCGTGAAATCTCCTTATAGAAGGAAGCAGAAAACAGAGTCACAAAATTCATTAATAGGACAACGCACTAAGGAGTTAGTGAATCGCCTTTCACAAAGGCTGGATCCCATAGATTGTCTGACGTAAGTTGTTGAACCGATTTGACCTTTAGGAAACAACATTTTGCATTTACACCGCCTCATAAAATTTCGGCTAATATTTTGTTGAGGTTGTGTCCAGGTGCTTGAACTTGGTTGTTTTGCCCTTTTGATATTTTAGCTGTCATTACACTACTAATAACAATAGACTGCAGATATCAGAATAGAAGTTAAGCAATAAAAGCTATGTAAGTGGGATTATGTTGGCAGCAGGTTGTCTTTCTATGGGGACAACATCTTTTATCATTCTATCATCCTTATATTTCTGGACGCGTAATCTTGTTTGGTGAGTTAGTCTTGGTTTTGGTACTTGTAATATGGTTCGATGTATAGTTTGACTTGCTTAGCTGTAGGCATCCATAAGCATGTATAAAAGCTAGTTCAACTCCAAGCTCCAGTGAGAATATAATTCTGAGTTAGAAGTAAACTTTGTTTGTTCATCCCATATATATAACATGGAAATATTTAGATTTGCATGGCAAGCAGGTGTAGTCGAACAATTTGTCATAATATTATATGTAACTGTAGAATAAATCTGGGAGCCACCACTGACAATTTGTAACAGAACCTGTCTTCTGCAGTTGTTTCATGTTCGTACAATTTCTTTGATGAAATTTTAATATCCATGGGTGCTCCTTCATTTACCTGCAATCATGTTATTTATCTAGATTCTAATATTACTTTGGATCCCGAGCTATTATTTACTTTTTTCTCCAAACATGAATGTCTTATACCGCCAAATATCTTGTGCTGTTGTGTTTACTGAATCCTAAGGTATGAGCCATATCTTTGGAAGAACGAGAGACAGGCGTACCTTAGACATGGTGTCCTCTTTGGTTTCTTTGTGCAACTTAATAGAATACATACAGACTCTGTACAGAAGCTCCCCACTAACTCCGAATCAAACATCATGCGTTGTTCTATAGTGCCTCGATTCAAGTACCTTCCCATCAGGTAGTAACTACTATCCTATCCATTTGTAAGAAAAATATCTTATATATTTCTCACATTAATCCTAGTTCAATTGCATTATCCGAAGTGCTCCAGCATTATCCATGAGGAATGCGGCCAGAACCTCTATGTCGACATCCGCGGATGATGCTTACTTGAGGAATTCATGGAAAAGTTACAAAAATGACGAGATGTCTCAAAGTTCTGATGTTGAGGATGACTCTAGTTTAGGGGTGGCTGCACATTACGGTTAGGGTTGATATTAACGGATGGGCAAGTTGGAAGGTTTGGGGACATATTGCCTGCTCAGGCAGCTGGACTCCTTTCATCCTTAACTGCCACCAGATCAGATTATTAACTGGCCCATCAGAAACAGTTCACTGGATTACGCAGAGTAGCAGATTTTCGGTAATTATCTGTAATTTTGGTTGTTGTGTGTTTGTGTTATAATGGAAAGCTGTTGCATGTGTAGGATTTTTGGAATTTATAATATGATACATTTGTGCTTTTGTCAACTATTGCAAGTTTATATCGTAGTTTTTCATGCATTTGATACAATTTTCCATTTTTCTCCTACGCCCGCCCATGGGTGGACACTTACTGACTTTGTGTATTTACATCCATGTTTTTCTGTAGTCAGCTTCTTGGAAGTTTGATTTTTGGTTAGCTCTTCATGATATTATGAATTGTTAATAAGAATATTATTTTGTAGAATTTGCTGAAATCTGCTTACTTTTTCTTAAGGAGCGTGATATTCTCGAGACTTGTCACTATTTGAGCAGTGGATTCCATAGTTAATTCATATCCCTTTCTATCCAAAGTAAATTTCCAAGTTAACCCAAAATATGATGAGAAGTCCAATAATCATTGAAATTGTCAGTATCCTGTACAATCAATCAAAAATATTCATGAGGTTTGTATGTTTATTACAATAATACCCTCTCAAAAATCTCTCAACAATTTCAGTATTGCATGATGGTAACATATATCGAAAGTCCTGTAATGCCAGAAGATAAGATACCTAAATTATTGCTTTTTGTGAATGGCTTTGTTTTTCAATAACTATTTAATGTATAAAAATACTATTGCATTCTGTTTTTTTGGTGAGTATCAATTTTGGCATTTAGAGAACCAGATTACTACATATGTTTTACAAAGATATATTGATTGTTCGTAATTTTTTGTGTGTTTGCTTGTTTATAAACTTCACTTTACTAGCCTTGTAGCAGGGTGGAGGAAGGTGCAATAGTCTCAGGTCCTGTATTTACCGTAAACCGATACGTCGTGGGTTGTCAACAAATTTTCAGAAGATAATTCCATTCACAGGGTTACTTAGCAATAAGGCTGAAGACAATCAAGGTCCATAAGACTGAATAAACCTTTTCGTTTAGTATGACAGTCAATTCTTATCTTTCCCCACTTTGTATGATAGTTTTTTACTTTATTTCATTGTCATTTTACTATAAGCTGATTTTTTCAACTAGAACAAAGTAAAGGTACGCTACTGTGATGGTGCTCCCTCTGCTGGGGATGGTGACAATGAGATCTGTTAGCATTCTGTCCCATTTGGTTACTATCTGGCATTTTATAATTACGAGTTTTATTATGTATTGTTCTTGTTTTAGAGTTGCTCCCCCTCCAGAGGTGCCATTGATAAAATAGCTACATGTCCCAATAGAATGTGTATGATTTCGAAAAATTAAATTCCTTTTTTTACATGCTATAATGAGGCATAAATTTGTGCAGGCTGCGGGTTTGCATTCTAGAGGACACCGGATATGGGAAGCTGCAATGGATAAATTGATGTCTAAAGGCGCTATTTTGACCAAGTAAATTGATCATTATTTGATTTAGTTTTTCGTATTCTTTTTTTTTTTCTCATCTCTTGTAGTATTTATTCCCTTCTGACACTTCTTTCCGGTTTTTATCGGCTGGTGGCCTAGCTTCTATTTTGCACTGTGACTAAAAAAGTGAAGTGCCTGAGCGATACTGGATTATTTCTTGATGCGTAATATTTTTATATTTTCTGACTTTTCCCTTTTGCAATTACAAAATCTGTAGTTCTTTTTCTTCCTCCTTACATTTTAGGTGTTTCTATTTCGTTATTGGCAGGCGGGCGGGCCTGTGAAAACTCTATATGTGCTGGGGGCTTATAAAAGGCAATGCCATGGTTAGCGACAATGCCTTTTCATCGGCTGACTGAGGCGACCAGATTCCAACAGTCCTCCGGTGACCGGAAATTCTCCGGCGACAGGTTGTGGAGAGAGAGAGGTATGTTTTTTCGTTTGTCAGGATTTTTCCACATTTCTCTTTACAGCTTTTTCCTCTTCGGTTAACTATATTCAGATAATTCTCAGTGCAATCGATTAAGTATTCGACTAGCAAATCAAAAAATAGGGGTTAGATTGCGAGTGGAAATTAACTAATTAAGAAAGGAGTGTTCAGAGTGTAAATATGATGTAGATTAGGGTTAGATTGCGAGTGGGGCGCTAGGGGTTGTATCATTTGCTAGCTCTATACAACTTTTTCCTCTTCGGTTCTCTTTATCAAACCTTTTTTTTCAGATAAATGTAACAATACTACAATTATATATATATAAAAAGGTTCTCGCATTGAAAAATAGAAATAAAGAGTTGTTTCCGTAGGAAAAAAAACAACCAAAAATGCTCAAATACAATTTCAGTTTTCATTTTTCTTTATTTTTCAGTTCATGAATAAAATATTAAAATTTGATAGAGTTCATACTTCATAGTAATACTTTATATGCTTATGTTTTAGCTATTTATATAAACTGGATAATGGTAATATTTCAAGTTTTATAATTTTATATGCTTATGTCCTTAAATTTCTAAGGTCACCGACGAGAACTTCATCATGAAGCACACCATGTCGGACGTCCTGTCCATGGCCAACGCCTGCTCGAGGACCAGCGGCTAGCAATTCTTTATGTTTAACGGTAAGATCGAGTCACTCAAGCTGGTGAGCTTGGCATTGGGTGACAAAATATGACAATTCAATAATATTGATGGAAGTGAGTTCAAGAAATTAATTTTTGTTTTTTGCACGCTGATTTTAGTTCTGTGTTCTGATTTATTGAAAATAAATTAATTAGGGTGTTATAATGTTTGTTTGTTGGAAATGTTCTATTTTTATAGAACTTGAAACCAATTGAAGAAGATACAGACTTGAAGACTTGAATTATGAAGCAAGGTTTAAATCTATTGTATTTCAAATATTTGGTTTTATGTTTATCTTTTCATACTAGACATAATTTCAACTTCAATTCCTTGTGGAAATAAAGATCTAGTTTTATGTACCTTGTGCTTGTTATTGAATTTTGTTATCATATAGGACCCTTTTGTATTAGCATAATCTATTGGTACAACCCCAACATAATAATATCTATGGGTTTCTTCAAGCATGGAATGATGGTGAACAGTAGGTTACCATTTAATTGGGCTAAATTTCTTTAAGATAATGACCTAAAATTATCCCAATTTTATTATTTAGCTGATACATGACTGCTTTGATCAAATTTCTTTTAGTATGACTAATTTTTAAATACATCAAGTCTATGCAATTTTTAAATCAACAACTTATACTCTCATTTATAAAACATTTACATGACATTAACAGTAAATAAAATGATATACGATTGCAGTGGGCAGGCTGTGCGTGCGCAGCCGAAGGCTTCCTAGTTTTAAAAGAAAGATGAGGAAAAAAGAAAGATTGATGAAAAAAAATTTATGTCTTATAAATCACATCTATAATAAGAAATAATATTAATGCTCTTAAAAAAGGATTATAAATATCTAGTATATTTATGGTTATTTCAAATCTATTTATTTTTGAGTTGAAAGTAAATTAAAATTCATTCAAACCAAATGACAAACCATAAAAAATAATAACATAGGATCCCGAGTCATGCGAGTCTGTCACTTAGGCTCAGTATATTCGAGAATTATATATAGGGAGACTATTTTACAAAATAATTTTATTCTAACATAACAAATATGGCACTAGTTAAACATAATAAATTATGAAAGATAAATATAATAATATACCATTCTTTCACAAGTTTTAAGTTATTTCTTGCAAATTATTTTTTTAAGTTATGAATTTTTTATTGCAAATTACCGTTGCATTGTTTTTTTTTTTCTTTTTAATTATATTGATTATTTAATAGTGTAACTAACAAAAATTGTAACAATTTTACTAATTTTACTCATTAAATGAAATGCAAAAAA